CCCCCCGTTTTTTATTTTTTTGACGGTCTGCCACTTCGAGGGGTGCCCCCCCCACCGTAAACCCGCTCCCCACTCCCAAAACCGCCTCCTCGATCGGTCGGGGCCTCGATCGCAAATTCGCGGCCGGCCCGGCCGCGGCCTGGGGGGAACATAGCTCACAACAACCCCCTTAAAGCCCCGATGCGGCATTTCAATGAGGCGAGAACGTGTGCTGGCAACACTAACTTCTGCACTTGAATTGTGGAATAAGGTAGGCGTGGACTTGCAGACGGGTGCATTGAAGGATCTGACAGAGCGTGATCCTCAAAGTGCGTCGGAATCCGAATTTGTCAGAGATCGGATTCATGCGACTGCATTGATTGAACTAGTAGAAGGTCACAACCATTTTTGTGTCGACTCCTGCGACAACAATTCTGTCCGCCACAGTAGTCGACAATGGCAGCCCATGAGCTTCGCGTACCGTCGAACCGCACTGGTGAGAAGAAAGGTTGTTGCGGGGTCGAAGATGCCTGTTTATTTGTTTTCCGCCTATCTAACATTGACGAAAAAGCAGGTGTTGCGCACAGTGCAAGGGGGAACCGAAGATGTGGCAAAGGCATATCCTCAATGTTCTCCGGGGACCGAATTCATGAGGGATAGGGTACCCGCAGCTGCAGTGATTGGATTGTCGGACTTACACTTTTTTCACTGCAAGACTATCAATGGTACAACTAAAAAGAACATGGCTCTTGGAACCCTCAACAACCCCTATGAACCCCCGATGCGTTTTTTTCATATTTCGTGAGAGCTGTTTTTTCGCGACTATAACGATTGGATTGTAGGACTTGCACATTTTCCACTGCAAGACTATGCATGAGAGAATTAAAAAGAACATGGCTCTTGGACCCCTCACCAACCCCCATAAACCCCCCATGCGGTTTTTCAACAAGACGAACTCATGTGCTGCCAGTATTAATTTCTGCAGTCCAAATGCCAAAAGGGGAAGACGCGGATTTGCAGGTGGGTGCAACGAATGATATAGCGCGATCCTAAAAGTGTGTCGGGATATGTACTTGCCAGAGATGCGATGAACAATTCGACAGTGCATGATCCTGAAAGTGCACGGGGATCCAACTTGCCAGAAATAAGATTTCCTGAACTGCACTGATTTTACTGTGGGAATGTCATTTAAACTTTTTTTTATATCGACTCCATCGACAACGACTCCGTTCACTGCAGTAGTCGACATTGATGGCCCACTAGCACACCACAGTGTTGGGTATGGGCTGTTTTTATGTGGTCCAAGCCCAACACTATCCTCTCAGATGGGATGAAATGGTTGCAATAGTCAGAACTGAACCTACGGTTTCCCACAAGAAATGGTTACTGAATCAGATCAGTACCTTGGCTAAAAACTGGGAGACTGAGAATGGTATGAATAGATGGAACAATCTGAGTGCTGAAAATATTATTCAACAAGTTATGGTCAATTACATGTCTGCCAATCATGCTGCAGACGAGAAAGAGAAGAAAAAAACAGAAAGTGATGATGATGAGGATGATGATGATGATGATGAAAACTATGGTATAAGAGGGGATTCTTCCAAATCCAGAAAAAATAGAGGTAATGGTGGAAAAGGAAACAGGGAGAGAAGGAAGTACGACGAACGACCAAGGTAGAGTTTTGTCTGCTATTATTGTGGTGAAGGAGGTCACACTACCAGTTATTGTAAGCCACTGGAAGAGGATGTGAAGAGTGAGGGGGCAAAGAAGGATGCAATGGGTCATGTCTGTGACAGTTCATGGAACAAATTGGATCCTAGACATCCTGGAGGTATGAAACTTAGAAAGGCTAACGTAAATGTTCACACTTTTATAGGCGAACTGCCTAAAGGGCTTATACAAGAACATGATGAATCTTTCACCATGATCGAGCTGCCCCTACGATCCCTCACTTTAGTGGAACACATGCCTGATGAGATCACTCCAAGCGAGCTTCCATTAGAGGATAGTTCTGCTTCCCGGATATTCCCTGGTTAACAACATTTTCTCCTAGCGAGTCTGGTTGTTCGGCCAAGATGATGCCATTTGAAGGTGATTTACCACCATAACTCGTTATGAAACCCAACACAGTGATTGGGGAAGTGAGGAATGTTCATGCACACTTAACGCCTTAAATGATAAAGGAAAAGAAAAGAAGAAAGGCTGAGGAGACTCTTATCGAAATCCTTGATGATCAACATCCTAAACCCTTGTCCAAAAGAAGTGAGCAAGGGACGAAGAGAAACTTTATTCTCAAGAGTGAGCTAGAGGATGGAACTGTAATTACAGATGTAATTACAAAAATACTGGAGGAGACAGAAGCGACTTTGTCTTTTAAAGAGGCAATGGCACTAGCACCTAAGTTAAAAGAGGAGCTAAAGAAATTAATTGATAAGAAAATAATGGAAGTTAATTATCTGGGATCGGTCTTCCCCGGTCAAGTTAACAGGACCTTACTCGGATGTAAATTGAGGTTCGCGACTATGGGCTGTGGGTATCTAACTATCTACATTAATCAAGTGAAAATTTGAGCCTTCGTGGATTCTGGGGCGGAAATGATGCTTCTCTCCCAGAAGGCAATGAAAGTTTGCAATCTGGCCATTGATAGGTCATCAAAGCAAACACTAAGTAACATTGCAGGGGAACTCTTTGTGGCTGAATTTAGTGATAATTTGCCTATCAGGGTTGGGATGATGACAGTCGAGCTATTGGGATTCGTGGTACCAGACCTGGATCATGATTGTATTCTGGGCACTCCATTCTTACACAGGATGAAGGTTGTCCAGTTTTTCAATCATAAAGGGTCGTCCTGGATTAGCTTACAGGATCCAGAGACTGCACAAGAACAAACCTTTATGGTCTGCACCGCCTATCATCATAAACAAAGTGTGTCGACCAACTCAATCAAAAGGGAAGAGTCTGTAGAGAAGATAAGAAAATTGAAGGGGAAAGATAAGCAAGAGGTTAAAGAAGTCTCAGTCGACATTAACCACATTTCAAAGATGATGAAAGCTCTTGGCAAGCTCAAAGATGAAGATGGGCAGATTGAAGCATTTAAAAAGGTCGTTGAGACTGCCAAGAGCGCGAAAATGAAATTGAAGTCTGCGTCAACTCGTCCTTTTTTAGGAAAATAATCACTGGGTCAAAAAGAAAATACAAGCCCAAGGGGGTAAAGAAGAATCCGGTGGCAGTCCTAATATGACGGGGCACTGAAAAAAGAAAGAAGAATTGTCAAAGCATTAAGGGAATCTGCAAAATTGGGGAATAGGGTTACGAGGGAAAGGTTTGACACGATGAAAGTAGACTCTGATCAATTTATTATGCCTAAAGAGAAGGAATATATCTTCAAAGTGTGTCAAGAGTTCTCTGGTGCATTTTCCTTTAATGATGAAGAAAGAGGACGTTTGGATGTGGATATGATTAAGATGGCAAAAATCAGGACAGTTGATCACATCCCATGGAATGACAAGCCAACCAAGTATGCCCTGAAGGAAGAGGTAGAAGTGGTGAAGTATCTTAATAAGAAAATTGCATCTAATGTTGTCGAACCTGCTGATGAACCGTATGCTAACCACTGATTCTGCTTTTGGAAACCAGGGAGAGGATGAAGATGGATACAGAATCTCCAGAAGCTCAACTCAGTAATGGTACGTGATGGAGGTAGTCTCCCTAATGCTGATCTCCTTTATGAATCCTTTGCTGGTCGACGCATTTATTCTTTGATTGATTGAAATTCTGGCTATGATCAGTTTCTCATTGATCCCTCTAGCCGACCAATGACTGTCATGCACACACCGAGGGGTCTTATTCAGATGTGCGTGGTACCTTAAGGTTGGACCAATGGTGTGGCAGTGGTTCAAAAGGATATGATCAAAGTCATGCAGGACATCTCGCCTGAGATAACCAACCCTTATATTGATGACAATCATGTGAAGGGACTTATGGTAAGAGATGAGACTTTGGTTGGGGATGGCATCATAAAGTTTGTCTGTGAGCATGCTGAAGGTGTAAAGATGGTCCTAGAGAGACTTCAGAAGTATAATCCGACTGCCAGTGGACCAAAGTCACTTCTCTTCCACGCAGAGGTCACCGTTTTGGGCTTTAGATGTTTCTCCAAGGGTAGGAGCCTTGACCTCAAGAATATAGACAAAATTTTAAACTGGCCTCTGCCTCTCAAGCGGGTGATAAATGTCAGGAGCTCCTTGGGTGTCTGTGGGTTCTGGAGGATTTTCATTCCTTATTTTTCTACCCTTGCAGAACCTCTAAGGGAGATGGTGAGGCAAGGGGCTGACTTATCTTGGACTGAAAAGAGACAGATTGCTGCAGAAACTTTACAAGAAAAATTAAAAGATGGAGGTGTTGTGTTGGGAGTGTCTTTCTATGATGATGAGGAAGAAAGACTCTTCATCATCGAGGCAGATGGGGGACCAATAGCTCTTGGTGGTGTGCTTATTCAGAAAGATGAGAATGAAAAAGAGAGATCTCTGAGATTTGAGAGTAGAACTCTTAACTCCACAGAAAGAGGTTATACCCAGTTCAGGAAAGAGCTACTGACCATCATCCATTGTCTNGAGTAGAACTCTTAACTCCACAGAAAGAGGTTATACCCAGTTCAGGAAAGAGCTACTGACCATCATCCATTGTCTCAAGTGATTCAGACACTATGTCCTTGGAAGGAGATTCACTCTAAGAACTGATGCATCTATGGTGATTGGTGCAATTAAAAAACACCAACAAGTGGATCCAACAGTAAGCAGATGGATAACCTTCATTTGGACCTTTGATTTTGTCCTGGAAAAAATCCCAACTGACAAGAACAGAGCAGATGGCATAAGTCGAATCGAATGGAGAAAAAATAAAGAAGAAGATATTGACGGAACCATTGAAGAATCTGCCTATGTTGATAATTTTCTGGATGAGAAAGATGATGAAGATTATAAAGCATTAAACTCCTATAAGTGGAGTTTATCTGTGTATTTTTTTAATGGAGAACGGGCGGAGTTAAACGTCCGAACACCCGTTTAACGGGCCCAGGGTCCCCGTTGAATCGCGTTAAAAGCAAAAACGAGGGCGTCGCGTCGAATTCTGAAAAACGGAATTCGCATGTTGGGCCTCGGACACGTGTGCCAACGTGCCCGAACACTCAAACCGGAAAAAAAAAACAAATTTTCACCCCCCGTTAACCCCCCCCACACACACACCCGTAAAGGCCCAAAAAACCCCTCTCTGACCCTGAACACACCCCCGGGCCCCGTCCCCCCAATACCCC